TTTGACCAGGGACCACTTCTATTTACAAGTCAGAACCTAGAACGGTCTTGATGTGACAGGTGCTGAAGCGGTGTGAGGTTTGAGAATGAACCCAGTGGAATCCAGAGAAGTCACCAAGTTCCTCTTCTTGAAAGGCTGCACACCAAAGGTGATGTTGGATGACATGAAAGAGGTTTCTGGTGAGGATTCCCCATCAGATGACGCAGTCAAGAACTGGCAACGACCATTCCACTGTGGCTGGACTTTGGTGCAAATAGCTCCAATTCCAGGGCGACCCCACTCTGCTATTGATGAACACACCATCAGGCAAGTGAAGGTCACCATTTTGGAAAATAGCCAGGTAACCATTCGCCACCGAGCCCAAAATGTCAAAATGAGTGTGAGGTCCGTGGAAAACATCATCCAAGACCATCTTCACATGCATAAGGTATCAACTCGCTGGATTTTGTGGGAAAGCTTGATTCCACAACCCCCGTTTTAATGAGCCCTCCTCCACAAATAACCTTACTTCTCCTTTATCTCACCTGGGTTTTTAATCAGTTTTTAATCAGTTTTTCTTTTAATCATTACATGTAGCCCGCCCATTGTCACTGTGATTGTGTTTATTGTAATATTATATCATTATGCATTCATATGTTTTATGTAATTATGATGTTGTTGTTCATTGTTTGCATTTTCGGTTTTATTTTGATGTAGGTTCTTGTGGGTTTTTTCGGGCTATAGGGCCATGTTCTAGAGGCATTTCTCCTGACGTTTCGCCTGCATCTATGGCAAGCATCCTCAGAGGTAGTGAGTAGGGCTGGGCAACCATGGAAAAATTTGTTTCTAAACTCGATTCGTTTTTTTGGGTTTTTTGCGTTTCGATATTTAAAAGAATTCCGAAATTTTTCTTTAAAAAAGTTCGATATTTACGAAATTTCGTAAATTACAAAACAATTACGAAACGATTTCGAAACGAATACGAATCGATTCGTTGATGGCGGACGCGACCACGCAATACGCTAAAAAACCTCCATATGGGACAGGGGGAACTTTTGAAGCTTCCCTCTCCCTCTGTTGTTGACTGTTGGTGTGATATTTATAATTTTTTTTCACTGATTAAACAAACAACAGCTATAAAACTTGCCCCAGACATGCGGAAATAATAACGAAACGATTTCGAAATGAATACGAGACGAATACGAAGCAATTACGAAACGAATTGAAAAATTCGTTTCGTTTTTTAGATGCTCCTGAATGGTTCAAAATCGCTTCGTTATCAAAAAAATAACGAATTTTTAACAAATTACGAAATTACGAAATGAAACCGCCCAGCCCTAGTAGTGAGGTCACTACCTCTGAGGATGCTTGCCATAGATGCAGGTGAAACGTCAAGAGAAATGCCTCTAGAACATGGCCATATAGCCCGAAAAATCCACAAGAACCTAGTGATTCCAGCCATGAAAGCCTTCGACAATATATTTTGATGTAATTTGTTGTTTGGGCTTGGCCTCATGTAAGCCACACCGAGTCCCATTGGGGAGATGGTGGCATGGTATAAATAAAGTTTATTATAATTATTATGCATGCTCTATCTGGCTACATGCATAATGTAGCCCCCGGTGGCGCAGTGGGTTAAACCCCTGTGCCGGCAGGACTGAAGACCAACAGGTCACAGGTTCGAATCTGGGGAAAGGCGGATGAGCTCCCTCTATCAGCTCCAGCTCCTCATGCGGGGACATGAGAGAAGCCTCCCACAAGGATGATAAAAACATCAAATCATCCAGGCGTCCCCTGGGCAAAGTCCTTGCAGATGGCCAATTCTCTCACACCAGAAGTGACTTGGTCCTGACACGACAAAAAAAACAAAAACAAAAACAAAAACTGGCTACAGGACTAAATGGATCTGTATATTTTTGCTAGTGTCCTATTAAAATCCATAACGAGATGCCAGCATTTCATATTCCTTTCATGTCGCATTTGAAATGTATCGCAATACTACTTTTCCTTCCTGTTTAATATTTGATTTTCTGAATCGCTTCAGAGAAACGGCATTTTGTTATGCGGCAAACAATCGCATCTTTTGACAACGTTTATTTCTTAGTCACAGTCGCATATTATCAGAAGGAACGAGCAAACGCAACCACTCCTTCCCATTTGAACAATACTGTACACAATAAACTAAAGTAAGGAATGAAAGAAAAGGTTTTCATCCAACGTGAAGGTTTGTCAGTGCTGGGAAAGGATGGTCTGTACTTCCTTCTTTGCAGTGCCACCATATTAGAAACAAGATGGAAGCCCAGGAGACACGATGACAAGAAACACAGAGGGAAGCCCTCACTTATGGAACACAAGCAACGACAAAGGATACGGCTTTGATATAAGAGGGAGACGGATGTGTTTGAGTGGCAACGCTGAGTCCCAAGTGTGTCCACGATGAGAAGACCAACGACAGGAAATGGTGGAAATCCGATTAGACGTTTTGATAGAAGATGATCTTATGTTTCTTGGGTTGCTTTCTGATCCTCGCAGAAGAAACTTCAAGAACAAGAGCAGAGTCCAAAGTCTCATCACCTGCTCCCGGACTATTTCCAGAACGGCTTCCCCAATCACTGTCTCGCTTTGAGAAAAACATCCAAAGGGCCGAGAGTCTGCAGATAAAACAGAAGGGGGGGGGGGGAGACTTAGAAGAAGTTTGTGTCCATCAGGATTTTGTCAAAAGGTATTTGAAGGATTAGCCTCTACAGTGGGAACCCTTTCTCCCTGGAAGATAATCTGGAAATGTCAATGGGTTCAGAATTCAATGGATCGTGTGCTGAGAGATATAAGCTGTAAGCATGTCACACCTGTTTGGATCCTTGCGCAATTCAAACAATCGGATTATTTTATTTTATTTTATTTTCAGTATTTCAACCCCGTCTCTTCTCTACCCCCGAAGGGGGACTCAGAGCGGCTTACATTTTGGCAGCGATTTGATGCCACTACAAATAAATCATCATCATCATCATCATCATCATCATCATCATCATCATCATTTAATTACGTATTAATTGCCCTCCATCCAAGATGCTCTAGGTGATTTACAAGCTAAAATGACCTTCCTTTCTGGGAGTTGTAGTTCACCCACAACCAGAGAAACTGTGACCTCCACTGATAACGGACCTGAACTAAACTTGGCACAAAGAACTCCCATGACGAACTCAACCTACTGGAGGGGTTTGAGGTTAGTGACTCACCATAGTGGGAATTGTAGTTTACCCTGCAGCCAGAGAGCACACTGAACTCCACTGATGATGCATCTAGAGCAATGGAGTTTTTTCAGGGTTAACCTGGCATGATGTGAGTTGCAGTTCACCTACAACCTTTTGTTCAGCCTTGGTGAGGCACAAAAGACTCCACACAGGAGAGAAGCCATACCAATGCCAGGAATGTAAGAAATGTTTTGCTGTGAGTTCACAATTGGGGAGGCACAAAAGACTCCACACAGGACAGAAGCCATACCAATGCCAAGAGTGTGCGAAATGTTTTGCTGACTGTTCACAATTGGTGAGGCACAGAAGACTCCACACAGGAGAGAAGCCATACCAATGCCAGGAATGTAAGAAATGTTTTGCTGTGAGTTCACAATTGGGGAGGCACAAAAGACTCCACACAGGAGAGAAGCCATACCAATGCCAGGAGTGTGCGAAATGTTTTGCTGACAGTTCACAATTGGTGAGGCACAAAAGACTCTATACAGGAGAGAAGCCATACCAATGCCAGGAATGTGAGAAATGTTTTGCTATGAGTTCACAACTGTAGAGACACAAAAGACTCCACACAGGAGAGAAGCCATATCAATGCCAGGAGTGCGCGAAATGTTTTGCTGACAGTTCACAATTGGTGAGGCATAAAAGCCTCCACACAGGAGAGAAGCCATACCAATGCCAGGAATGTGAGAAATGTTTTGCTGACAGTTCACAATTGGGGAGGCACAAAAGACTCCACACAGGAGAAAAGCCATACCAATGCCAGGAGTGTGAGAAATGTTTTGCTGTGAGTTCACAATTGGAGAGGCACAAAAGACTCCACACAGGAGAGGCCATACCAATGCCAGGAGTGTGAGAACTGTTTTGCTGTGAGTTCACAATTGGGGAGGCTCAAAAGACTCCACACAGGAGAGAAGCCATACCAATGCCAGGAATGTGTGAAATGTTTTGTATTTTGTACAATTTTTAAGAATGACTTTTTTCAAATAACCCAGGCAACGCTGGGTACCTAAGCTAATAAAAAATAATTTAAAAATCTGTATGGCTTTCCTAATCATAGAAGGCACCATCTCCTGAATATATCAAGTCCTCCTTCCCCTATTATAATTCTGGAAAAGAGAATTATAATTCTGGAAAATTCTGTACTTCCTGTCCTTTGGAACTGCATGCAGACTGAGCAGGCATGTCTTTACCCACCTCATTCAAGAATGAAACTTTATTTATTCAACTTCCAGAGATTCAATTAAGCGCATTTATTCTTGCTTTCCCTCCCACCCCCGTGTTTATAGTCCTGCTGGTGTTTTCAGTTAAGCTTTGTGTCTATTGGCTCTGAATTGTTGTAACCCAAATTCTTTTCATTCCGATCCATCTTGGGAGCTATTAGGGGTGAAAGGAAGTCTTTAAATACAGCAAATGCATTAAATGGCATCCCCTGCTCCTTAACTCAATTCCTACTGGAGCAGTGTTTTGGCAGACTCAATTGAAGGGCTTCTCTCTTTCTCTTTGTGAAATATGCTCTTACTGAAAAGAGGATGACCCTGAAAAAATATATCTGAATATGTGAGCAGAAAAGAACAGACTGTTATGTGCTGCTCTCCTGCCTGCCTTTCTTTTTAGAAAAGCAAGTTGGATGGATGCAATATAATATAATGCAATGCAATATAATAATACTACTAATAATAGTAGTAATAATAATAATAATATGTTATAATTATATATTTATATTACACTAGCTATCCCTTGCAATGCATTGCTGTGGCCCACATGGGGGTTCTGTGTGGGAGATTTGGCCCAATTCTATCGTTGGTGGGGTTCAGAATGCTCTGTGATTGTAGGTGAACTATAAATCCCAGCAACTACAATTCCCAAATGACAAGATTCTATTTCCACCAAACTCCATCAGTATTCACATTTGGGCATATTGAGTATTCGTGTAGAATTTGGTCCAGATCCATCATTGTTTGAGTCCACAGTAATCTCTGTATGTAGGTGAACTACAACTCCAAATCCAAAGGACACTGCCCACCAAACCCTTCCAGTATTTTCTGTTGGTCA